TGAGTTGCTATAAGTGACCTGGCACCTTAACCTAAATCTCTCTTCTGCCTGTGCTCCAGGTATTGTGATGTCATCTACCATCAGGCTCCACCAGAGCTGAGTAGAAACTAGCACCATGATCCTGAATCTCCAGAACCGTGAGCTCATAAAACTCTTTCCACTATGAAGTTTCCCAGCCTCAGGTATTTTGTTATAGCAACACAAAATGGACTAAGACAGATAGTGACTATATGAAAGGACTTGTTTTCAGTACTAAGCAAACACCTATTCATGGATCTGAGTGAGTGTGTGCAGAGTGGCGGTGAAGAGACAAAAGAGTATATTTCTCAATGTGGTTATTGGCCTTGGTCATTGAGCTGCCTTTGGTTCTATCCTGGGGTCTTCCCTAGGGGGATGAGGGCTTTGTTGCCAGCTACTGGCTCAGGAGGGCCTGCACCTTACCTTTCCTCTCCCTTCCAGTGTGTCTCCCATTCTCCTGCCCCCAGCTGGCCAGTCTCTGGTCTTTTAGGACTTTCCCCTTCTAGGGGGAAGGTGCTGTCTCCTTCCTTGGCTGGGAGACTGTGGGGATGGTGGGGCAGGGGTAGAAAGAGGGAGAGAGAATCTCATCCCTGCCCAATTCCTGCACACCTAGATGGGTAGATTTTGAGGACTGGGAAATCCATGTCCCCACCCCACACCTCACTCTCTGAGGTCTTCTCAGAGTTTCAGTTTCAAACAAAGAAACCATCCCTAGCGACAGACGCAGAACAGTTTCTTAATGTGATTTTGTGGAGCTCCCAGACTCGCTGTAAGGGCTGGAGAAAGTGCCTAGATGTGTCTGCAGAGGGGCCACCTCCCTCAGCCCTCCCACCAACCCGACATCCAGGGGGAAGAGCTTAACTGGGAGAGAGAATGACTTTCTCTTCCATCCTAAGACCTGATCAGAGTAAGAAGAAATTGAAACAGCCTCAGAAACAGAAATGCAGTGATTTCTTCCTTAGCAATGTTACTGAAAAAAATTTTAAATCAATACTATAAAATGAAGGTAAGGAAGTCCCCAGAGCAGATCCTTCTCTGTCATCATGCTTCATTTCGAGGTCTCTAAGCAACAGATGGCTGTGGAGGAGTCTACCCCCACCAGGACAGAAATGGGGTGATGGACAGCGAGGCCATGTGGAAACTGTCTGACTTCTTGCTCCCTGGAGCCACCAGGTTGGGGACAGCTATTGCAATGTCATGCTGCACATCTGCCTGGAGAAGATGCAAACCCCCATAGCCAAGCGCTGGAAACACCTCAGGACTCAGATTCTGGCATTTGCTCCCACACCGTGTTAAGCAGCGCCTTCAGGCCTGCAGACCAGGATGACCCTTGTCACCTGAATGGACCCCTGCCCTGTTGTGCTCTGGAGAAGAGCCCTTGTCCATCCACTCTAGATGCTGTGCTGTCCCCAGGGGTCTGAGCAGGGGGGAAGGTCAGCCACTCAGATGCAGGGTCTCACACCCCAGGACCAAGGACATGTGATGCTCTCCTCTTCTCCTCCACCCAGGGGCAGGCCCAGAGGGGTGTCCATCGCAGGTCATTGGCAATCAAATGCTTGTTTGTTTAAGCGTAAATTTGAATTTAAAATTGAGGAGGGGACATAGGACAAAGATAGCATTAGATCTTTAAATAGACCATAACAGTTAAAAAAAAAACAAACAAACAAACCCCAAAACCAACAACAGGAGTGTCACCCAGGAGATCTGAAGAGTTCCTGGGGAAGGGGACTTTGACTCAGGATCAGTCACCTTGACAAACATCACAGAAATGAATGTGTCAGAGACAAGTTTTTTCTTTTTTTTTTTAAGGAAACCAAGGGACCCACATTCAAGGGAGGATACAGTCACCTCTAGAGCAAGATGTTTGGGGGATTCTCAATTTCTTCTTTTAAAGGAGACTTGGGCATGGGACATCCGTCCAGTGATCACATGACAGTCGATGGGGGTCTGGTCCTCCTGGGATCCTTAGGCTGGTGTGGCCTTCATTATCTGATCAATAGATAATGCTGGAAAGTCCTGTAGGTGTCAGGCTTCTTAAATACTGTATCTCTCTGTGCTTAATCTCCTCATTACCAGGGCTGATCAACAGGCATGACTCAGTTTTTGTGAGTGAGTTTACAGTAACTCTTAAACTCAGGTTTCTCAGAAACTTGGGAGTAACTGATCTGGGAGGATAACAGGCCTCTGGAGTGAAGGTATGAGGAAATTCAGCACCAAGCTTTCAAGTGAAAGACTTTCTTTTTCTTGTCTCCTTTCTACCTTTTATACTTTTTCTATTCTACCTCAGGAGTACGTGCTGGTGAGGTTTAAAGACCTTTTCAATGATGTTACAGATGATCTGAGTCTGTAAAGGCCATTAGGTGCCTTTCTGATTCCCGGCCTGTTCTGCTCTTAGCACTGAAAGGCACTTGTTCCCGGGTTGGGTCCTTTTCACATCCTCCTTGTGGGAAGGTAAATCCAGCGGGTGGAGTGGTTTTCCAGTAAATGTACACTGTCATTTCCACTCTTTTGGACGATGCCCCCTGCCTGTGTTGAAATAGTCATTCAAAAGAAAAATGCCAAGTGAAAGTGAGGGCTCATACCATGGTATAGTGTCATCGCTGGGAACCGCGGTTGTCTCCTACAAAGCTCTGCCTCTTCTGTGGGCAAGAAGAAAACCCTGTCACCCCACCAGAGCCTAGGTGACCCCCGAATCTGCTATGCCCTTTACAGAGACCACGATTACCCTTCCAAACGAGGCTGCCTGCCACCCTGCAGAGGTGCCAGCTGACATTTGCCAAACTCGACATTTCCACTAAGATTCAGCCTTTCTCCCTTCCTGGTGCATCCGTGTCTCCTTGGAAATAAATAGCGTAGGGGAAACCATTTTTGGTACAATATAGATTTCACTTAAGTAGGCTGAACATTTTCTAAAAATGAAAATGTTTCCCATGTAAAGTTAGGAACTTGGTGGAGTGTTGTTCATAACCTTCAGGGTTGCAGATCAGCTTGGATCACACTGCCTTGAACCTCACGACTGCCTGGGGAACTGAGAGACGACGGGACTGGTGCCTGGCAGTCATGGAAGTGAAACTGACTCGCGGACCAGCACCATGACTGTCTGAAGCAGTGCCGGGCCATTTGGGATCCAGGTCTCACACTGCTTTCTGGAAACCCGCCTGTGACTCCCTCTGTACAGCGTGCAGTCCCATGTGGGGCTGGCTCAGACCCGACCTTCCATTCTCTTCTCCCATGTCACCTTCCCACCAAAGAAGAAACAAAGCCAACTGCAGCTTAAACCATGGAGGTTTTCTCCAGGGGCTTTAGAGATTTTCCAACGCCACCTGTCTTAAGGTACAAATCACATTCTGCAAAAGTTGGAGTAGATTTTATTTGGATAGATGTGTGTGTGTGGTGTGTGTGTGTGTACATATGTGTGCACTGTCATTTCCACTCTTTTGGACAATGACCCTGCCTGTGTGCCACTAGTCATTGACAAGAAAAATGCCACTTGAGAGCTTGGCAGCTCCAGACCATGTTATGGTGTCATTCCTGGGTGCAGAGGTCGTTTCCTACAAAGCTCCGCCTCTTCTGGGCAAGAAGAAAGTCCTGCATCTGACCAGAGCCTATGTAAATACACACATTTAAATGTCTAATGACTTCATTCACTTACTTGTGGGGCTGGGGACCTAGCCCAGGGCCTTGCATCTGCCAGGCAAATGCTCTATTGCTGAGCTGTACCCCCCGCCCCCCCAATGTCAAATTAACTAAAAGAGCTCTTTTTCTGTTTGGGGGCCTTTGATGGATCTGCTTTACTGGAAAATCCGGCACAAAAGGGACATCTGTTGCTGGCTGACATTTGCAGAGTGGTCACGCCTGTGAGATGATCGAGCTGTAGGAAGAGCTGTCATTTATCGGCTATCTACTGTCTACGGGTGTTGGCGCAGCATTTTAAATGTTATTGCCAATCCTTAGGCCTTTCCATCCTCACACAGGAGAAAACCACAGGACACAGACTAGTAAGTGTCTTTGTTGGACAAAGCCCGGGGACCTTCTGTTCCATGAAGCTTCCCCAGACCCAGCACACGCCTGGCTGACAGCACTGTTGAAGGAATGGATGTCAAAAATGGCAGATGGAAGGGCTGGGGTTATGGCTCACTGGTAGAGTGCTTGCCTAGCATGTGTGAGGTGCTGGGTTCGAGTCTCAGCACCACATATAAATAAAAGATCCATCAACAACTAAAAAATATTTTAAAAAAATGGCAAATGGAAGCCTCATTCACTAACAATTATACAAAACATTAACACTTTTATAGTTTGGATCTTATATGTCCCCAGAGACCTGTGTACTAAAGACTTGGAACCCAGCCTGTGGCCCTACTGGAGTGTGGCAGAACCTTTAAGAGGCAGGGCCTCATCCAAGGAAGTTGGGTCATTGGGGTCATGACCTTGAAGGGGATATTGGGACTCTGGCTCTTCTCTCTTTGGCTGAAAGGAGGGGAACAGCCTCCTCCACCATGCAGCCCACCATGATATACTGTGCCGCCACAGGGCCAACCAATAATGGACTGGAACTTCTGACGCCATGAGCCAAAATAAACCTTTTCTCCTTTTAACTTGTTTATGTTACGTACTTTGTCATAATAACAGGAAGCTGACTGACACAAACACAGATTAGATAAGAGAATCAAACTTTAACAGAGCACCTGCAGTACATAAAACACAGATAAATAGAAAAAGAAATATCAAAGTCTTCCTGAAATCCAAAAAAATCCATGTCTGTCCAGTGTGGTGCTGACCACTTTTGAATTGAGGTTGGTTTTTAGGTTAGCTGATGAGCACTCTGGAAGGATTTCATACCATCTCGATTTCATCCCTAATTTTAAATATTTGTTTCTCACAAATAAAACATGGTCCTTGTTTTGATGAGTATGAGAGACTACAAATTATACTCTTTATAGTCAATTTCTTTTTTAATCATTAAGGTCTTTTTGGAGTGGTGAGTTCACAGGATGGAGTATTTCTGCCACCTGAGCCTTCAAAGCTCAGCTCCTTGGACAAGTCCACGTGTAGGAGTTCTAGATCTGGGGCTTCCTCAGGCAGTCACTCTGATCACCCTCTGAGGCAGATGAGAGAAGTGGGGAGTCCCCGTACGGGTCTCCTCCTTGGAAATGAGTCTCCTCCTTGGAAATGAGCTCTGGGGGTCCTGGCCCAGATGGAGTCCCAAAGCTGCAGCTGTCACCAGGATTCTGCTTGCTGCTTTCACAGTCTTCGGAAATGACACTTAATTTGTCAAAAACTTCGTTCTCATCCGAGAGTGGGAAGGAGAAGAACAGAAGCTTGCTGTGATGGGGGTTGCCCAGAAACTGTTGGGGGGAAAGAGGACAGTTCAGTACCATTTCTTTTTTCTGGCCTTACAAAGATTTTATATAGGATTTCTGGGATGAAAAATATTATTTTAAAAACGTAACAGTATGGTGCTTCCTTTATAAATAAAAAACAGAATTATCATATTATCTAGCAATTCATTCCTGGGTACAGTCCCAAGAGAAATAAAAGCAGTATGTTGAAGAGATATTGGTACACTCATGTTCACAGCAGCATTATTAACAACAACTGAAGGTGGAAGCAAGCCCAGTGTCCACGTGTGGATGAAATGTGGTGCATTTGTTGCAATGGAATATTAGTTAGCATTAAAAAAGAGGAAGTTCTGACACATGCTACACATGGATAAACCCTAAAGACATTACACTAGGTGAAACCGGCCAGAGGAGAAATACTATATGATTCCATTTATTTAAGGGTGGAAGAGTTGGATTTATAGAGGCAGATAGAAGAATGGTTATTGCCAGGATTTGGGGGAGAGGGGATGGGAGTTAGTGTTTAACGAGTAAAGAGTTTACTTTTGGAAAATGAAAAAAGTTCTGAATGTGAATGGTGGTAATGGTTGCATAAGAGAAATGCAAATCAAAACTAAGATTTCACCTCATTCCAGTCAGAATTATCAGGAATATAAGCAACAATAAGTGTTGGCGAGGACGTGGGGCAAAAGGTACACTCATACATTGTTGGTGGGACTGCAAATCGGTACAACATTATGGAAAGTTTCCTCAGAAAACTTGGAATGGAGCCACCATTTGACTCAGCTATCCCACTCATCAGTTTATACCCAAAGGACTTAAAATCTGCATATTACAGTGATGAAGCCGCATCAATGTTATAGCAGTTCAATTCACAATAGCCAAACTATGGAACCAACCTAGATGTCCTTTAGCAGATAAATGGATAAAGAAAAGATGGTATATATACACAATGGAATATTACTCAGCCTTAAAGAAGAATGAAATTATGGCATTTGCAGGTAACTGGATGGAGTTAAGAGAATAGCACACTAAGCAAATCCCCAAAAACCAAAGGCCAAATATTTTCTCTGATCTGCGGATATTAATTCACAATAAGGAGGGATGGCAAGGGAAAAATAAAAGTTTGGCATTAGGCAGAGGGGAGTGAAGGGAGGGGAGGGGAGTGAGGGTAGGAAGGGTAGTAGAATGAATTAGACATTAGTACCCTATGTACATGACCATGTGATTCTACAACATGTACAATCAGAAGAATGAGAATTTATACTTCATTTAGGTATGATGTGTCAAAATGCATTCTATTGTCATGTATAACTGATTAGAACAAATTAAAAAAATACACCACCAACAGAAAATCTAACGTTACATGACATGTATATACTTTATATATTGTAATTTTTGTGTGTGTATATGTGTGTGTGCGTGTGTGTGTGGTGCTGGGGATTGAACCAAGGCCTAATGCATTCGAGGCAAACACTCTACCAACTGAGCTATATCCCCAGCCCAGATACCCCATAATTTTAATGTAAACTTTATTACTTGCTCTGATTTTTAGGCATGTTTATTTTTGCTTAATTGATTTTTATGAACTGATGAGCATCAGTTTGATATCAGTTGAAAAAATTTATAAAAGTGGGTTTTTATTGTTGGGAAGTATGCAATTCTGGTATTCATTTTGTAAAATCCCAAATACACTCTTAAAAAAAAGGGGTGGGGGAGGGTTATGATGGCCAGGTGTGGTGGCACACGCCTGTACTTCCAGTGACTGTGATGGGGGTAAGGGGCTGGGGTAGGAGGATTTTAAGCCCAAGGCTAACCTGGGCAACTCAGTGAGACCCTGTCTCAAAAGGAAAAGAAAAAGAGCTGGGGATGTGGCTCCAAGGTAAAGAGCCCCTGGGTTCAATTCCCAGTATAAGAGAGAGAAAGAGAGAGAAAAAAAGATTACGTGGGAATTTTGTGCCATGTGTATTTCACCACAATTTTAAAAGATGTGACAATGAGATGTGCAACTCAGTTGCTAAGTGATCCCAGGTCGCCCTCTGATAGTTCCTTTTTTATGTGGGTGTGCTGGGGATTGAACCCCGGGCCTTGCACATGCTAAGCATGCACTCTACCAACTGAGCTACATTCCCAGTCCAACAGGGAGGACTTTCAGCTCAATCATGACGCTGTGGGGCATACGCAGCCTGGCTGGCATTTCCTCTAGGAATCAGGGAGATTGCAGGCCTGGATGATCATGTCTTGGAAGAACACAGGGTCTCTCTCACGTCCTCAGGCTGAGTTAGGCCCTGTTTGACATTCCCTGCCATCCTACCTGATCCATGATTTCAGCCCTTAGCCCTGAACTATCTAGGATGGTAGTGGCTACTGACCACTTGGAGTGTGGCTAGATTGTTCTATGTGTGCTGTGTGAATTACACCCTATTATGTAGGGGCTATGTAAAAAAAAAAAAAAAAAAAAAGAATGTAAATACCTTAATAACTTAAAAATACATTGGTTACATGTTGAAATGATGCTATTTTATATACATGAGGTTATATAAAACATGTGATTAGTGTTTATTTCACCTGTTTCTTTTTACTTTTAAAAATCTAGCAAAGGGGTGGGGAAGGGTTATGATGGCCAGGTGTGGTGGTGCACGCTTATGGCTTATGATATGTTCCTATTAAATTGTGCTCTCTCAGTTCATTTGATGGACACTGACTTGTCCACAAGTCATTTCTCTCATAGACAGGGCCAGTTAAGTGCTGAGAGCCCAGGGAACATAGTCCAATCACACTTATCTGTCTAACACTTTGAACAATGAGATGCCCAGATATATTTCTGGAAATCTCTAATTTCACGTTCTTCAGTCTTCATCCCGATAGGTGAGCTATGCCCTTAATGCTCACAGTTACATGGAGAAACATGTAATGGAGAAATTTTTTAAAGCTTTGCACTTGTAACCTGTCCCCTTCCGATGGAACGCCGTGGTCCCCCCTTAATCCACTAGCCCGTTCTGTGCTGCTCAGACTTTTGATATGCTGTAGCTGCTGCCTGCTGGTTTGGACCTGTCACGATTTCCACCCAAGGAAGGGAGTGGGGAGGCCAGGGGAACTGTGTCCAGTTCCCTGCTGGGAGAGGACAAAGCTGGGAGGAGGCAGAGCTCCCTAAACCTCATGTCCAGTGGATCCATGGTCAGAGTCTTGCTGAAGTTACCCTTTATTCTCCTGGGGAAGGGAGAGGAAGGGAAACCAAGGGAAGGTGCACTGATTTTCAAAAAAGCAAATATCGGGCTGAGTCTCCCGGTTGGACACAGAGAAACAGGTGGCGAGTCAACAGCTCAATGTTGAATAACCCTTTCTGCTCTCAACTCACAGCTCCCTCCCAGCTCATCTCCCTAAACCCCAAATCATTCTCTGGGCCGTGATTAACACATTCTCTACAATAAGAGCCAAGATGGAGAATTTGGTGCTGGGGAGACCCTGATAAGCTCTGAAGTGCTTTGGAACTTCCTTGACCCTTACTCTCCTCGGCCCCTCTCCAGCACCCCAACCTCCGTGTTGCTCAGATATCACAGGAACTGCCAGCCTTGCAGGGGAGCGCTCATTCCCACGACCCCCTCCATTACACTTGCCTCAGCTTTGATTTGCCATCTGTTCTTTCCTGTCTGACCAGTTTCTTTGATGGAAAAGCCAAGCAGCAAAAATAGCAGGTGAATAGTTTCCTTTTGGTTCTCAAGAAAATACCTTCTACCCAGAACAAAGGGCCTGATCCTCTTTGTTGTTCTTGTGCCTTCACAAGGCTCATGCCTAGAGGATTCCTGATGCTTCCTAGTGCTGCAGGGCTTGCAGACATCCTGTGGAGAAGGTTCCAGCTGCTCTCAAACACTCGCCCCCAGTCATGAGTTCCACTTTCTATCCACAGAGGGTGCTGTCCTGTGCAACCCAGACCCCTTCATGGTGGATCCCCTTATTCTCCGGCTTCCTGGAATGCCAACAGCTGGAGTGGCTCACAGCCGGGTCCCTCGCTGGGCAGCGCCCTTCACAGGAGGCAGTTACCTTCCATAATACCACGTCTCTTCCCAGGGGCAGCCCTGGCTGGTTGGTGTGGGGACAAAGGCTTCGTGTTAGCTATCACAATGCATCAGTAGGGCCAGAAGTTCAAGAAGTGCCAAGGCACGGGTAAGGCATACACTGCAGAGGGTGGCGAACTCGCCCTATGAAGAAACAGGGACCTGCCACATCAGGGAAGTTGGAAGGGTCCCGTGGAGTGGGGCATGCTGGAACATTCTCTCCAAGTCAAGACTGAATGACCACATGTGACATCCCTGAAGGCAGGAGTACACTGAAACACCAGGTCCTGGGAGCATCCGGGACCTAGCCAAGCCTAGGTAAGCATTATGTTGAAGGAAGTGACTCATGTAGTGGAAACTAGGGCAAAGAGTGTTATCTGTGGAAACTGCTTTCTAGCATGTGACCAGACAACTGTTCCTTAGATGCTGAACAAAGCAAGCTGATGACACTGCTGCTCATGTGGCTCAGCCTAGAAGCCCCTCCCTGAATTACCTGGTACAGAACAAGCTGTGGAGAGGACACGTGCTCATCCAGCTGGCTGCCACTGGATAATGCACCACAAAAGATGGAGGTGTTATCTATCTAGCCTGTCGCCACTGGACTCTCTCCACAAACAGTTTTCAAAAAACCTTATGTCTCACATGTCATCTTGGGTATCTTCTTTTTTGGGGGGAGGGGGAATACCAGGGATTGAACTCAGGGGGCATTCAACCACTGAGCCCTATTTTATATTTTATTTAGAGACAGGGTCTCACTGAGTTGCTTAGCACTTCGCTGTTGCTGGGGCTGGCTTTGAACTCACCATCCTCCTGCCTCAGCCTCCCCCAGCCGCTGGGATTACAGGTGTGTGCCACTGCACCTGGCTATGTCTGGGTATCTTCTTTGGTCTCTCAGCAACTTATCTCACTACCCCAGCTCAGTGGGGCTATGAACAGTTCATCATATGTCACCCCTCCCGCCACTAAGAAGGACGAGCTAGCTTGGTAGGCCCCGTTAGGCGCTGGAGCAGCACATTCTGCACATGGGGATTCGCTACAGGGTGTTTAAAGGGAGACTGAGGGCTGCTGTCTGGGGGGAGCCAGGGCGGGCAAGGGCCCCGCAGCAGGAGTGGGCTACAGAGCAGACAGCTCTACCTCTGCTTCCAGACAGGTGCACTCTCTACCATGAGGACAGACTAACTGAACCTGATGGACATGTGACCTGACAGATCCTTGAAGTGTCTTTGGTGCAAAATGACCTTGGGTGGAGTTCACAGATCAATCCCAAGAAGAAAATCACAATGTGGACACTAGAGTTCTGGGATCAGGCTGGGTCATCTGCAGCACAGCAGGATATCCTGTCTGGAAAACAGCTCACTGAGTGGTACGGAGGCCTGCCAGACGCAGAGCCTCTGGCCATGAGATACTAGGTGACAATGCTGTCCGTGAGTGACCACTATGAAAGTTAGGTACCAAAATGGAGCCACTTAAATCAAACCAAACTAAATGGAGTTGGAAGGTCTTGAGTTGGAAGGGGTGGGGATGGGGTAGGTGGGACCCTCATGCACGATTTCCCTGATAACAGGAAATAACAGGAACTGTTACAAGAGAGTCTAACAAACAACAACCTTGCGCAAAGACTATCTCTTCAAGGACAGACATCTGCCCCAAAACCACCTTCACAACCCTGTGCTGACACCAAGGTGGTTATTGATTCTCAGAGCCAAGGATCATTACTTCAAAACAACTTACGTAACTTTCTTCAATTTACCTTTTAAAACACCTGTTTCCTTTGCCTCTCCGGGTAAGCCCAAGGGTTCCCATGGTTTGCCATGATGCATGTTCCCTGGATTTGTGAATCATCCATCCTTCCTCCCTTCCTTTCTTTCTTGTTTTTTTCTTTTAATTTTTTTTTATGTGTGTGTGTGGTTTTGGGGATTGAAGCCAGGACCTTGTGCATGTGAGGCAAGCATTGTACCAACAAAACTATATCTCCAGGCCTAAAATCATCTTTTTTAAAAATTTTTTTAGAAAGTTTGTTTGTTACATAAACTGACACTATCTTTGGGGCCTGTTCAGTCACATCAGATCCTAAGACAGGGTCAGAGGGCACAGGTCAGTCACATATATAGGTGGCTCAGACTCCCATGTCATCTGTCCCCATGCACCTTGCTCTGCCCCTGCTCATACTGTGAGTAGATGAGGGACAGGTCCTTATGGCCAGCTGAAGAAGAAGGGAAAAGCCTACTCTGGTTCACAGGCAGCTGGCATGGCTTGTGGGTGCAAGCTGGGAATGTCCTGCTGTTGCACGGGCTCCCCCCTCAGGCAGAAAGCCCTCCAACAGGCGGAGACTCCGACTGTGTATCCAGTCATCACTTTATGTGTAAAGTGACCAAAGATCAGGTTTGCCATGGACTCACAGGCTGAGGTCATGGCTGGGCTGGAGATTGGAACCTAGCAGAAGGAAGGATGGAAGGTCAGGGACAAGGACACGTCCCTGGGGAAGAGGCACGTGGGTGGCAGTGTACAGCTGAAGTGTGTGAATTCCTGTAACACATACTAACCCCCACTGACAGCATGTGCCATGGGGAGGGAAGAACCAAGGAGACAGATGACACAGCCAGTGGGCAGCCAGCCTCGGCCATTTGGCCCCCATATGTGGCCCAGTGGGCTCACAAACAGAACAGCCCTAGTGCCACGGATGGAGGCTCTGCATGGACCCACGAGCAGACCTCCTGCCCCCCAAGACTGACGTGGCAACAGCTGCGGCCAAATGTCCAACCTCCTGTAGTAGAGACCAGTGCTGAGCCCCTGGGATGACGGCACCTGCAAGGAGACCAAATGGCCACCTGGTGGCAAGTTGATGACATCAAATCCCTTGTTCCCTGGAAGTGATGGATCCTTATTAAGTGGACAGTTATTTCAGAAATGACTTGCCATTTTGTGTCCAACAGGGCCTCAGTCAGCACCACGGAGGTCTTACTGAGAATTTGGTCTACTGGCACACACTGTAGCTTGAATTGTGTCCCTATAAAATTTTACATAAGTCCTAACCTCCAGTACTTCAGAATATGAACTTACTTGCAAACAGTCATGAACAAATGATTAGGTAAGTCAGAATAAGGTCAATCCGGAGCACAGCAGGCCTCTGGTCCAATATGACCGGTGTCCTTATTAAAAGGGGAAATGTGGACACAGGCATACCCAGGGGAGAAGGCTGTGTGAAGGTGAGGACAGAGGGTAGGGTGAGGCTTCTATGCACCAAGGAATGCCAAAGACTGTCGGCAACCAGCAGAAACTAGGGCAAAGGCCTGGAGTGACTCTCCTCATAGCTCTCAGTAGGAACCAATCCTGCCCACACCGTGAACTCAGACTTTCAGTTTGTAGAAATGTCAATATACTGCTGTTGGTTAAGACACCCAATATGCCGTACTTTTCAGTGGAAATTCTAGTAAAATAATCCTGATATCTAAGAGGGCCAGGAGTGGGCACCTGCCCATGGGACCCACTAATCATATCATACAACGCACCACCCAGCAGCTTCCAGCCAGAAAGAATAATAGAATGACCTGTTCAAAGTGGGATGCCTGCTTGGAGACAATACCCTGTGAAGATGCCCCCAGCACCTGGCACACATCTAGAACCAACAACCACTATTTGTTCCTATGGCCTCAGGAGGTAGAACACATGGGTTCAAGAATCAAGAGATTATAGATAAAGGAGTGGCTCTGGTCACCACTTGGGTAGATTTTGTGAGTCTACAGCAGGAGTCAGCAAACTACAGTCCATGAGCCAAATCTAGTCCACTGATTATTTCTGTACAGCCCATGAGTCAAGATTTTTAGATGATTACATTTAAATGGTTATATACGTACCTGTGTGATTTCGATTTTACCACTTGGTTTGCAAAGCCTTAAATATTTTCTATGCAACCCTTTAAGGAATAGTTTGCTGAACCCTAGTCCAGAGGATTCTAGAGTAAGAGCATCTGACCAGTGAACACAGCATGAGGCCCATTCAACTTGAAGCTATGGCTGCTGCTTCTCATGCAAGACCAGTAGGCAAAGGAAGGAGTGGCCACACTGGTCACCAGGAAGGGCTAATGCTGCTGCCACACTCTGGTGGGTGCCCAATGGAGTCACTGGGGCATCTTCTGATGCAAATGGACAGGCAGAGCAGTCACTGCCCAAGAAGGGCCTGGGGGCCAGAGCTCAGTCCTGCTAGGCCAGCAGAGGCTAGTCACAGGACGGGAAAGGACGAATGATGGTGAAGGAAAAGACCAAATATTACTCGTGGTCTTGGAACCAGCTGCAGTGGTGGGAGATGGGGTTTGTCTTACTAACTTGCTCTTGGAACCTTCCCCAGGAAAAGAAATCCTGAAGGAGCTGCTCCTGGTAGGTCCCAGTGGTCCAAGGGGCAGGCTGTGGCGGATGCTGTGAGAGGCCCTACAGCTCTCCCTTCAGGAATAAGGCGCCTGCCCTCCCAGCTGCCAGGAATACTGGTGCTGATGCTTGTACCTCGTCCTAGGTGAGGTCCCTTCCCCGGGGTTTCCTGTATCTACCACATGGCCACTGAGGGGTTCCCAGGTCCAGCTCTCTTGCCTCAGCTTGGGACACTTCTGAAGGGCTATCCCAGCTCAGAGCCCTTGGGGACTGGGTGAGGCCTGTGTTGCTGCTGCATGATAGCTCAACCTCTCTGTGCCCCATTCTGCCATCTTCACTCCTTTAGAGGTATCATGCCCAAGAAAATTTACCATGGAGCCTTTTGAATGCAAATTTCTATCTTAGCATCTTAGATAGGTGCTTTTTGGGTCTGCGCTTGGCATATTTTCATTTTTAAGTGTCAGTAAATAGTTGTCCTTCAGTATCCATGGGGATTGGCTATAGGACCCCTTGTGGATAGCAAAATCCACGGATTCCTTACATAAACTTGTGTAGTATTTGGATGTAACCTAATCACGTTCTCCTGTATACTTTAAATTATCTCTAGATCATTTATACCACCGGATAAAATGTAAATAGTTGTTAAACTGTATTATATAGAAAATTAATGACAAGAAAAAAACTCTGTACATGTTCAGTACAGATGCATTCCCCCTCCCCCACTCCCAGATATATCTGATCTGCAGCTGGCTAAGTCCATAGATGTGGGACCTGTGGACATAGAGGGTTGATTGTGTACCCAGAGTTTTATTTCTTACGGCCTCTTCAGTCCTAAGTCTTTAGATGGATTAAATCTTTTTTCTTCTAAATCCTAAAAATAGCCTCCCTAAAGTCTCGGATGCACATCCAGATTGAAGTCATTCTCAGATATTCCCAAACTAAAAGCACACCTCTCCCTGCTCCCGTTCTGCCCCTTGGCTCCTCGCTGGCACTTGGCCCACAGTGTTCTCTTTCTCATCTTCTCTATTGGGAGCTTTGCTCTTTCCTTTCCTGCTCCAGAACCATCAGCATGGCTCCCTGAGGACTTGGGGCTTTGGGCAGTGCAGGCCAGAGAAGGCACCGTCAGGTCACATCTGAGACAATCCTTTGCTTTCTTCCTAAGGGCTGGTCTTTGGACTCAGGTTTCTCTGAAACGGGCATATGGCGATGGACCAGCACATCAGATGTGTACTATTCCCCAGGAAAATACTGTCTGGAACAGGCAGCCCTGACCTTGGAATGGGCAGCCCTGACCTTGGAGAACTCTTCCAGCAGGGTTTTCTAAGGCACATCTCGCTCCCTCCTACCTACCTCTTTCAGGTGCTGTGGAAGTGAATTCCCAGGGGAGAAGGTGTACTTGGTCTTCTTGTAAATGTACCACAGGGAGACCGAGCAGCCGAGGAACGTCAGCAACACCACGAAGACCGAAGCTATCAGCACGACGGCCACCACCCAGGAAAGGGTTGTTTCTGCCAGGGACAACAGGGGGTTACATTCTTGTCATGTACAGGTTGGATCTCAGTGACCTGAAGGCCATGTTAGCCACTGCAATTCAATGGCAATCCCTCAAAAGAGCGCCCATTTGTCCATCTCAGACAGCGTCTTCGAAATCCTGGAAAACACAGCAGAGGGGTGGAGGACCCAAGGTGCTCACTGAGTCGCACCCCCTTCCTGTTGCTTCAAAGTTTGGTCTCTGGGATTACGACTGGCACATATAACAAGAATAATAGGCAAGGATTTGGGTCAATTTACTTACTTTTAGGTGGCAATAAGCCCCCTCTCTGGATCCACCTCTTTGGTCTTGAAGCAGCAAACCAACCCCCAAGGCCAAGCCCAAGGGAGAAAGAGCCATGCTGCAAAAACTCACACTAATGACTCCACCTCTAAGAGACCCACCAAGCTGCAGCACAGCTCCTGGGAGCCGGAGTTGCATCCCTGGGATGACCCAGGCCCTCCTGGGCTTCTGACAGAAGGGTCAGCCTGTTTAAAGAGCACACCCCGTGGCCTTGCCAACACAGACCATGGGCCCCTGACCTGTCCTCCTGAGAGCTTTCACTAAAAAGGGCTTGCCACTGTGAATCTTTCCTCTCCCTTTATGCATATAGTGGTCTGCTACAACCTGGGAGTATCTTCTTCAAGAAACTGAGCACCATTCCTTTGAAGCTACCAGAGAGGACAGTCCCCAGGGGAGAGTAGGAGCCTGACTTTGATAAATGCCAATTAGCAGACACAGGTGGTCTAATGGCAATGGCATTTACCTGAATTTTGTCATTTTTTCACTCCCTCACTCTCCTGTAAAGGGTCCCGTCTCCTCTGCATAAATGGAGCGGGCTCTTTCTCCTACTGCAACATCACTGAGGCAGATCTGGTTTTACAGACGGAATCACACTTGGCTTCTCCAGAACAGTATCCAGGATATCACCTGGTCATTCCTGGTCTCATCTCTCCTCATTCACCAGCAGGCCCCTTCTCCAGTTGCCCTGGCAGCCAGGCCTCCCTATGCCCTGCCCCTGCCTATCAGTACCACCCTCATGAATAAAGTCCAGTGCATTTGGTGCCAAGAGAGGCCAGGAGATCGAACTCTGCTTATTAGAGAGCAAGTCATTTGAAAAGGACTGTTTGTGGGGAAAATGTCAACTGTCACTCAGGGTTGATCAAAGATCTCTGGGGGCAGGGGTTGTGGCTCAGAGTACAGCAGTTGCCTAGCAATGTGTGAGGCACTGGATTCAATTCTCAGCACCACATACAAAAATCACCCCCCAAACCCAAGAACTCTGGACAGTGTATTGGTCCTGGAGTACCTTAACTGCAGGCATCTGCTGGTATCCCAGGGGATGCGCCATGTGTGTGACTGGGAGTGGACATGCCTTAAATACTGGCATCTGTGCGGGGGAGAGGCTGGGAGGCACCTGCTGTGTCTTCTGCCTCCTTCCCTCCTCCTCTTCTGTTTGCATTTTTGCCGGCACTGCCCTCCTGTGTCTAGCACACACACGCCCTCACCAGGTCCAGGCCTCTGTCCTAGCTCCCCATCAATTCCTGCTTCATGTGCTAGAACTGTCACTCACTCAGGGGTGGGGCTAGGCTCTGAAACAAGACGGAAGAAAACTTTTTGTTTCCAATATTCTGGGGAACAAAGCTTTTAAAAGAGGTGTCAAAGTGGGAACAAAAGGCAGGAAACATACATATACAGATTTTGCAGTTAGCCAGCTAGCATGAACAACTCCTATTTTCAGATTTTTTGGTATCCTTTAGGTGGGGGGTGGATGTGTGTGCAGGAGACAGGGGGGCGATGGGAGGCGGGAGGCAGGCAGCCCTTCAGCCTTTCACTCACTATGAGAAAATACAGGATGCAGAAAAACAAGTTACCAGGATATTCCCCTTAATTTCAGTCTATTTCACACTGTGGGACAGATCACCTTTCTGTTTTATCCATAGGGATGTGATGCCTCAGTTTACCTTTGGAATGAATATGCAGGCAGAAAGTTAGAGGGGACACAATCCAGGCTTAGACTGGTCTGTGTTCTGTTCTGTCCATGTCATTTACTAGCTGAGTACTTTGGGCAACTTAATTGTTATCTCTGAACCTTCATTTTCTAGTCTGTAAAAGGGGAAAAGATCCTTACAAAGCTCTCATTAAAAACTGATCGTAAGGGTAGGGGTTGTGGCTCGTGGTTGCGCGTTTGCCTAGCACATGTGAGGCCCTGGGTTTGATCCTCAGCACCACATAAAAATAAATAAAATTAAGACATTGTGTCCATCTACAACTAAAAATATTTTAAAAAACCCCCAAACTGATTATAAGATTACATAAAGTGAGAATGAAAAAACAAAAACAAAAACAAAAAACCCCACCCAACCCCCAAAACTAAAATGATATTTGACAAGAGGACGTTTTCGGTCATTTACTTTTTCCCTTTCTTTTATAAAATGTTTGCCTAATGTCAGAGTAATCACTTGCAGTTGCGAACTATTTAAACTATTTTTCTTTTTGATCAAATTGTACCCCTCATGCCAAGCTTTGTGACATGAGTGATCCTATATGTGTCCCATCTTCCACGGTCTGAGCTTCCCAAACCCTTTGACCGTGTCTCTGCGTAACAAAAGAGGCTGCTCTGCTATGCAGACATGCAGGTGACAGTGCTCCCCATGAAGCTCAACCGCCACATGGTGCACATAAAGCACCAGCACCCAGGCACCTGCTCCTCTCTCCCCTTCACCTGCCCCCATCTGCTCTTTTAAGAAACACCAAGTGTGCAGGCACTGGGCTGGACACTGTGGTCCCCACCATATGTGAAGGATGGAGGTGAGGGCCTATCTCATAATTGACAAGGGGCTACACCAGCAGCACCAGCTGAGGACAGTGATGAGGTATCCCAATCCCTCCCTGCCAGTCCTCGTGCATCTGCAGGACTGGTGTATGCCCTGGGAAGGAGACTTCCAGGGCACATGGGGGTGTGGCAAAGCTCCAGTTCTGCAGGGTGGTCTGGGGAGAATGGTCTTGCTCTGGGGAGCTGGAGAGCGCAGTCAAGCAAGGCGAAGACGGGCTTGTGGGGCCAACTTCAGCTGCCCAATGGACCACCCTGCCGTCAATGCCTCGGGCTAAGTGAACGAGCAGTCTCAGAAGTGGGCCTCTCCTTCTCAGCATGAAGCTGACCTTCAGAGGAGGGGATGCTGATTCCTGAGCAGGAGTCTGAGCAGCTTGTGATGATGCCTGAGGATTGTGTGTGGTGTGTGTAAATCTTTTAAAATGCCGCAGAGGCTGAAGCACACACTGTGCGTCTCACTTACCCTCCATTGTTCGCTCACACACAGGCTCACTCCATTCCCCAGTTTTGTTCCGAACAAGAAGAAATGCTTGAACTTGAATGCAGTAAGTTGTCCAGGGCTCCAGGTTTCTGAGGACCCCAGAGTCAAACTGAAGAGTAGTTTGAAACTGGCAATGGGGATGAAACAAGAACACACCTTAACAGTGAAGGGAGACCATTATTTTTCTTCTCTTTTTTCTCACACTTAACAAGCTGTAATTACTGCTTCAGACTTAAAATAGTAAAGAACAGATGGTAGGTGCTCGCTCCTCCCAGCTCATTTCAGGGACTCCACACTATTCTAAGGGATGCAGCAAGACGGACTGTGATGCTGACAAACCATCTTTTCTTTTCTTTTTTTTTTTTAAAAATATATATAATTTTTAGTTGAAGATGGTAATAAATAAAAAAACTTTATTTATTCATTTATTTTTATGTGGTTCTGGGGATCAAACCTAATGCCTCACACATCCTAGGCAAGCGCTCTACCACTGAGCTACAGCCCCAACCCAGACAAACCATCTTGTTTCCCAAATTCTCTACCCTAAATGATATGCAAACTGCCCCTTCCCCAAAGATAAACCAGTTTTAATGGGTTGAACTGTGTCCCTTAAAAATTCTTGGGCTGGGGATGTGGCTCAAGTGGTAGCGTGCTCGCCTGGCATGTGCGGGGCGCTGGGTTCAATCCTCAGCACTACATAAAAGTAAAATAAAGATGTTGTGTCCACCGAAAACTAAAAAAAAAAAAAAAAAAATTCATAGGTTGAAGTCCTAACCCCTGGTACCTATGATGTGACCTTATAGGGAGGTAGGGCCTTTACAGAGGTCACCAAGTTAAATTGAGGTTATGAGGTGGGTCTCTAATTCAACTGGACAGAGGAGTGGGACAAATCCCCGCAGCTTCAGATGAAGCACGGCCTTGTGGACACCTTGGTCTTAGATTTTCAGCAGACAATAAATTCCTGTGGTTGAAGCTACCTAACTGTTGGCATTCTGTGACAGCAGCACTAGCTACTAATACAGAGCATGTTTTGATCTTGGCTGCATGGGGCTCTCCAGAGGCCCTGGCTCACTCAGGTGCATTCCACAGCCTGTTCTTCCCTGGCAGCTGGAGTTACTGACTCATCTCAGTTGGAGCTGAATGCAATATATCATAATTAATGAGTTATTTCTCAATTTGAGAAACTGAAATAGTTCCTAAAAAAATAAAGGGCATTAAAAGAGCCTACAGAGTGAGTGCAGACTCCTTTTTTTTTTAAACTTTGGCACCTGGATTGGTGACAGCTTGATTACTGTATAAAAAATCAAACTCTCTGAGGGCAAGATTTGACTATACTGTTGAATATATGAAGAGAATGACAAGAGTTTCTATGAAGTTAATTTTAAAAACAAAGCAAACCAAACCAAACCATACCCAAAAAACTCCTGGCTTTCATTTCTAGAAGTCCAGTGCCTCTGAAGCCTTACAATGCAGTTTTTGAAAAAAGACTACAACTCAGACCATAAGTGGCAAGCATATGTGGAATTTCTAAAAGCTGTTAGTGTTATTAGTGTAGGGAATTAATCTGACTCTGTCTTGAAACGTTTGCATTCTAGAAGGGAACCACATACGTGGGTAATGAAGACATTTAGGCCCCTGGGAGGGAGCAACTGGGGAACCAGTGGCCTTTCCAGCAACACAACCTTTCCTTCCACACAACCCGGCAAAGTGAGAGGACAAATGTGTAACGAGATGCCTGTGCCGTTGCTGGTGGTGTGTTCTAGAAGCTTAATATAAAAGAATAAATATAGGAAGCTAAATATAAAATGGGATTTGCATTTCATGCTTAGTTTAGTGTTGCAGGCACTTAGCTACAGTGGGGTGAGTACAGAGCCAGATCCTTAGAGGATGCTTCTCGCCCCGGAGGGGGTTCTGGGTCTTCTCTTTGAGTCTCAGGGATTAGCAGAAACACCTGCATTGGATGAGTGGGTATAAAACCAAATATTCTGTGTTGCTTTCCAGGCACATTTCCTGGAGTCTTGACTATAACCAAATCAGCTCTTCTATGAGGAAGCAGATGCCCCCACATGCCAGGGTTTGAATGTATGTGTCCCCCTGCTATATTCCTACCTTGAAGCTAAATCCCCAATATGACAGTATTAAGAGGTGGAGGCTTTACAAGGTCACAAGTGAGCCCTCATGAATGGGATTAGCAAGCTTGTGAAAGAGGAATCAGGGACTCTGCACCCCCTTTGACTTTCATCTTCGGCTAGTGAAGATGCTGCAACAAGACCTCATCTTGGGAGCAGAGAAAACAGCCCTCACCAGACCCTGAATCTTCAAGTGTCTCCATCTTGGCCTTTTCAGACTCCAGCATATATCTCCAGCATTGTGAGAAATAATTATACTGTTTATATTTTACACACTCTGTGCTATTCTGTTATAGCAGTAGGAACAGATTAAGATACTGCATCATGATGAGGAATTGTGGGGGGATTAACTTTTATTGTTGTTGTTTAGTATGTGTGTGAATGTGTGTATTTAATTAAGACGATAAACATGGATGATCTCTTCCTCCCAATTTTTTGAGAAGTGATATGAGCAACATTTAATGAAATACATCCTATATAACATATATGTAAGTCAGTTTAGGACTATGAATGGTATTCAGTTCAGTAGGTCTGAACTGGCAAACTAAGTCTGCCCAAGGATGAACACAAATGGCCTTAATATGTCTACATAAAGGGAAGGGGACCTCATGTAGTGACCACATACACTGTTCCAGGAAATGGGACATGTTTTTCATTTTGTGATTAAAACTCTCCAACAATCCTATGAAGTGAATTATTACCCTGTTTTATGGATGAAGTGGGTTATTATAACCGTTTTGAAGATCTGAGGAAGCTGAAGACATTCATGTTACCTGAGCCACATGATGGCAGGGGAATACTCCCATCAGGTCTTTCGGATCTGAATGATATAGAAAATAATAACCCCAGGGGGCTGTGGTTGTGGCTCAGTGGCAGAGCGCTTGCCTGGCATGTGTGAGGCACTGGGTTCAAGCCTCAGCACCACATAAAAATAAATAAATAAAATGTCTTTAGAAAAAAATAGTAATAAACCCAGGGAGAAAAAAAAAAAAAAAAAGAACAGTGAGTCCCAGGGAGAGAAGGAAAACAATGGACCCTGGACTTTCACGACTGTCCCCCTGACTGCCCGACATTCTGCTGTGATTCAGTCTAACTAAACCCTACAAAACTCAGACCCCTATCGTAACCAGCTGCCATTCTCTCTCTTGAAAACGTGCCCCTCAGGTGCTTAATAGAGCATCGCTGATCCACTGAGGTCTGTTTCCATTTCTTTTTCTTTCATTTTGCTTTCAAGTTCCAAAGCCAAGTTTTTAAAGGAGTTGTTCCCTAGAGAGGAGAGCAACAGCGAAAACTGTGGTAAAGAAGGTGAATGGTGGCCTGGAATGGTAGCACATACCTGTAGTCCCAGCAGAGGCTGAGATAGGAGGATCACGAGTTCAAAGCCGACCTCAGCAATGGTGAGGCGCTAAGCAACTCAGTGAGACCCCGTCTCTAAATAAAATACAAAACAGGGCTGGGGAGGTGGCTCAGTGCTTGAGTGCCCCTGAGTTCAATACCTGGTACCCCTACCCCCCTACAAAAAAAAAAAAAAGAAGGTGAATGTAGTGTCCTGGGGTAGGGGGTGCCTTGACCACAGACTTGACATATCTGATATGTGACTGATCTGGGGCATGGGGTGTTGACGCCCTGACTCAGCAATCATTCAGCTGGTCACCTGATTCAGTGGACTCCAACTTCCCCCACCAATTGCTGACTCAGCCCTGCTCTCTCCTGCAACTTCCCTTCCTGGGAAAAGGGTCTATTCTCGTCATGCAGATTTCACCCTAAAACCTGCTTTCTGTATTTCCATTGGGGGATGGGAAGTTTGAGCCCAAGGTACAGTCATGCTTCAGCCTGGGAAGCTCTGGCTCTTAGAAGCCTTAGAACCTCTGGACCATGGATGCTGCCATCTTGCAAGGCCCTGCCTGGGTGGACTCCTGCCTTCTTTCATCGAGTCAAAACTCAACAGAGAATATGGGTGCCCACATTGAAGTGCATGTGATTAGCCAAGTTTACCTTCTTATCAGTTCCATTTTTCCAATAGTGCACATTGTAAGTCCATGAGGAATAAATGTTCTTCATGGTCCATGTTTCTGGTTCATTCTCAATTTGGGGAGCAAAGAATTGCATGTGTAAAGAATCAGCAAGTGCTTCTACCTGCACTGCAGGAGGTCCAATAATGGCTAGGTATAAGAACAAACCAAAATGATAAATAATAAGTCACATTTTTAAAACACTATTGCAACACTAATTTTTTATAACTGTGCAGGACAATTAGTCTATTTAAGTACACTGTTCTTTGATAGACCTTGCTATAAATGAGGGAGTAAAGGGTGATAGGTGGAGTTTGTTTCTTTAAAATAAAAATCTGATTCATGCTTCTAATGCCAACTATTCAGAAGGCTAAAGCAGGAGGATCACAAGTTCAAGACCAGTTTCAGCAACTTAGCAAGACCCTGTCTCATAATAAAAGAAAGGGCTAGGGATGTGGCTCAGCGGTTAAATGCCTCTGGCTTTAATCCCTGTACCAAACAAACAAACAAAAATGGGCTGGGGATTCAGCTCAATGTAAGTCACCCTGGGTTCAACCCCAACACTATAAAAACAAAATCTGATAATCTTTATCTTTATTAATCACTTTAGTTCATTTATGTTTATTATAATTTCTAATATTTTTAGACTTATTCCAAATCCATTATCATGTGTTACCTGTAAGGACTGCTTTAAAAAAAATGTATTTTATTTTGTTTTTCCTCCTCCTCTTTTTTCCTTCTTCTGATAGCTCAAATTTTCTTTCCTTTTCTGGGCTGGAACCTACAGATAGTAGTTCTATTATTTTCAGTGGCAACCCTAAAATGCTTAACATATATAATTATCACGTGAATTTTTCTAACCTGTCTTTTTCTAGATCTAACCTATCTTTTACTAGATCAGTTTTCCCATTAGAATCTATGTTCCATGAGAACAGGGTTTTTTTTTTTTGGGGGGGGGGGCCTTGATTGCTACTGGAATTTCAACGCTGAGCATGGCCTGGCACACAGTAGGTGCTTGATAACAATCAGAGGGAACAGCTAGTGGCTCTGGGAAACTGCACTGTGTTGACCTATGTCCTGTATTCTTTTCTGGCCACTGTTACTTTCTGGGGGCTGCTAAGGAGCCTACTTCTACCATTGTAATCTGCTGGTCTGAAAACCAGACAAGAAAATTTGTTAGATACTTTCTCAGAGCCAATATAACAGATTCCCCATGATGCCACGAAGCATTTTCTTATTGCTAGAATACTTCAGGAGGTGAATATCCCATATAGGGCCAGAGCTGCTAAGAGCATGGGCATAGGGGCTTGGGTCTGAATCCTTGCTCTGCCACTTATCACCTGTGTGACCTTTTGACAAGCTGCTTAGCCTGTTTTTAAAGGGAACTTCCACAGATGGGACCTAAAATAGGATTTGGAACCGGTCAGAATCAACTGGCAATTATAGGAACAGAAACCTAAATAGATGGTCTTAAACTTATGAAGGCTTCACTTATGATGTTTTGGACTTTATGATGTTGTGAAAGTGAGCTGCATTGATAGAAACCTGGGATTTTGAATTATGCTCTTTCCCCAGGCTGTCGATATGTAGCCCAATCCTCTCTTGCAATGCTGGCCAGTGGTGACCTGCAGCTCCGTCAGTCACACAGTATCAGGGGAGACAACCGGTACTCTATTCTGGGCTGTGCTGCTCAGCTAGGATGTTTGAAAGGTTTTGGGTCTTAAATGCATTTTGACTTATGATATTTTCAGGTTATGATTGAGTTACAGAAATGGAACTCCACTAAGTCAAGGAACACTACACTGAGTTTTGAAGACGTGACTATTGTTAAACTGGACTTTTTGTATTCTTTTTGTTGTTGTTGTTGTTTTTATAAAGAAAATCTTAGAAAAGATAATGTAACTTTGATAATTTTGGATTCCAAAAATAAAAGTCTGACCAAGCTGGGACAGAATTTGGGAAAGAGAAGGACATCCTGGCCTCATAGTCTAGAAAGACAAGGGTCCGGGGCAGGAGACGCATACAAAGACCTTTCCCTGCATAAAGATAATTCTCTCAATTCTTCTCTCTGACTGCTCCTTAGAGGGCTTTTTATGGTTTAGATAAGATGTGTACCCCAAAAGCTTATGTGTGAGATAATGCAAGAAAATTTAGAGGTGATATGATTGGGTTATGAGAACTTTTAATAAAATCAGTGCATTAAGGCACTGATATGGATTAACTGGACAGTAACTATTGGTAGGTAGGTTGTGGCTGGAGGAGAGGTCACTGGGGGTGTGCCTTTGGGGTTACATTTTGTCCCTGGTGAGCAGAGCTCTCTCCTCTCTGCTTCCTGGGGGACATGTCCTGAGCTGATTTTCTCTACCACACCCTAATGCCATGATGTTCTGCCTCACCTTGAGCCCCAAGCTATAGAGTTGGCCATCTACGGACTGAGACCTCTGAAACTGTGAACCCCAAATAAACTTCTCCTCCTCTATGTGATTCTTGTCAGGTCTCTTGGTCACAGTGGCAAAAGAACTAACTAAAATAGCGGGTATGTGAGTGTCTTGAAACCCTGAATTGTCTTTACTGCCTTAATTGCTACAGGTAGCTTAATTGGTTTTCAGTTCCTGATACTCTAACTGTGCTTGTGGTGGGTCCTCATGGCCCTCTGGGTGTGCTCTAGAGCTTTCTTACCAGCAGCCTGATCCCAGCCCACTCGACATCAGCTCTCTCCCCCTTCTGTCCTTCCTCTGGGCAAGCTGCCTGTCTGCATATGGCCTTTCTGTCCCCACACCTATCTATACTCTTCTGCCTTTCATGTCATACTTTTGTTGAAATCATAATTCAAAACTGACTCCCATTCAGAAAACTATCATCTGAATCCTTCTCATTAATAGTGCTGGCCCAATGCCATGAAGGTACTGAAGTTTCAATTTTATATTTAATTATTTCATTTCATCCTTTCCTGTTGTGCCCCTGTGCTTCTTTAAGGCCTCGGCCTTCTTTGTTATATTCCTCAAGCTCCTTGTGCAGAGCTATCCACTTCCCGCACACTCCAAGAATTCTTGTTGATAGACCAACCCAGGTGGAACAAAACCAAGGCAAGCGATGACACCCAACAGAATGGAAATCAGAATGGCTTACTGTCATCCACAGGGCAGAAGGAGATGTTCACCCAGTCTGAATATTCATCTGCAAATTCAGACCTGACTCTCAAGATGTGGTCGCCATACTTGGAAAGATTTGAGAAGTCGCATTGGGTCGAGGTAATGCTCTTGCATTTATCTTGGAATTTCCTATAACTACACAATTAGAAAGACAAAATCATGAGAGCTCGAACTTCAGCTTCTTTCAGGCTGACTGGTGCTTTATTCTTTCTGCTACCAAAGACTAACTGGGGACAAGGAGAGAAAATGAAGCAATTCTTAATCATCGATCTTGATGAATTACATGCATGATTTACATTAGCACTTTCCAAACTGTGCTCCGTGGGATACAGTTAATGATCCTTGGGTCATCATAAGGCATTTGAAAGATAATCTATCTCATGGACAAATAATTTTGGGGGAAATTGCATTAAACATAAAATTAGATGTTTTCATATTAGAATCTCTCAGAGACCTTACATCCTAATAAGCATGTGTCTTTCCAGAAAGGGGTTGAGTATTCAAAATATTTGACCAAGAAAGCTTCCTTCCTTCCTTGGTTGTGTGTATCTTAAAGCAGTGAGGCATGACTTGTGAGATTTTGATACACACAGATTAAGTAAGTATATTATGCTGATTTCAAATAATGTCCTAGAAATGGTTCACATTGTTTATTCTAGAAAAAGTATAAAACAAATATAAATTTCAGTCAGGACAACAGCCCCAACAGCGACCACTGAAGACAGGGTGGAAAAACATCATGTGGAAGAAGAGAGGACATTTGGAAACACCGGGATGCTAAGCAAATTCCACCTCCCACAACTTAACCTGAGGAGAGCCTGAGGAGGGTAATTGGCACCATCTAACCCATGGACACACAGCCTCCCTTCCTGTAAGTGAGGAGTCTGACTAGTTTTCCATTGTATCTTCCTGTCTAAATGTCAAAACCACTTTGGCTGTCCTCAGAAGTGACAATGATGGTGATGCTGATAATAATAGCAACATTGATCAGCTTAGGGATCAGGTATGTAGAGCCTAGGAAACCTGTCCAACTACATTCAGTTGTGTTTTACTTTAGAGTCTTGGAGACCACATCTCACTGCATTCTTGGTGAGGTTTAGAACAATCCCTTGCAAAAAGTAGGTAGAGACAATTGTGATCATACTATTTTATAATTTACTTTTCCCACTTAATACTCCCCGGACAATGAGTCAATTAATCAACTCTTCATGGCTATCTTATATCCTATTATCTGGAAAATCCAGGGGTCATGTCATTAAGGGACTTTCTCACATTTGGCCATTTCCTTAATTTAAACTGATGTATCAGTTGGCTGACAGCATTTCAAAAGTTGTTTTGCAATAACTTCTAGGTTATTTTAATTGCTTTCACAAATAACTTTTTCCTCATTCAATAGGTAACATGACCCCTTCCCCATATTTACATCTAAGTTTTGGATGTTTCCATATTTGTAACCACCAATCTATCTTCTAGAGAGCCCCATCCTGGCCAGCCTGACAACAGACGCACAACAGAGAGCTCCTGTTGTGCAACTGTTCAGGTTAAATCTAAGCAAGACTTCTGTGAAGCCAAGTAAGAGGAATCAGATCCCCTGGGACCAACCTCTTCCCCAAGGACGTGGCCAGCATGTGTTTATTTGCCTTAGCACATGCCAGGTTCTGTCTGTGGTTTCCTGAGGAGGACAGCTGGAGCCCAGGTGCTGACTTGGTGAATGACCTCTCCCATACCTTCACAAAGTCACTGAGACCTCTGTCTAAAAGACAATGGCAAAACTACTACAATGGCAAAACAGCAAAGCACAGACCCACCAAAGTAAACCACAGGGAAGAGAGACGGAAAGAGAGGTGCTATGGTTTATTCCCTCTAAAACACATGTCGGTGTTTCCCCACTGTGAGGTATTGACCGGGTGGACACTTAATTGACTATGTGTTCAGAAGGCCACTGGGAGGTGATTAGGTTTAGATAAAGTCATAGGGGCAGAGGTCCCATGATTGAAGACTAGTGGCTTTACAAGAGAGAGACCAGTATTCTCATGTGTTGCTCCCTGTCACTCACCATGTGATGGCCTCTGCTGCCTTGGGACCCTGCCAGCAAGAAGGCCAGATATAAACTTTGGCCTTAGACCTTCAAAACTATGAGGAAAATTTTTCTTTATAAAGCTCCCAGCCTCAGGTATTTCATTGTGGTAATAAAAAACAGACTGATAAAAGAGGATAGTTAATTTTCCACAGTGAAATCTCTAAGGATTTCCAGACTGAGTGGAGAAAAATATGAGTCCTAGGACTTAGTACTAAGAATATACCCCAGGAAAAAAAAAGTTGTGGAATGACCCTCCTTCAATCCTTGGACTCTATACTGTAGACTGGATGAAAGCTTTGTGCCATGTTGACGTTCCTGAATTTGGTAACTATGCTGTGGGATATAAAAGATTATCCTTGTTCTTATGACACATACATTGAAATACTAAGGGGCAAAGGGCATTCTGTGTAAGAGATAAATAGGAAGGAGGGAGAGGAAATGTGGCAAATTTTAAAGCTGGTGAATTTGGATGTAGGCCATCTAAAGTTCTTAGTATTATACTTGAAATTTTGGAATTTTTTCTTGTGTGAAATTATTTTAAACTAGAAACAAAACAAAAACCCAACTTGTAGATAAAGATTATCTTTTTTTTTTCCTACTTGGATTCATGGGCCTTGGGTGTGTTCATTAAATGACAGCTGGGTGGGGTGAGGGATGGGATTAACAGGATTGAAGGGAATTTCCTCCTGCCTCACTGAAGGGCTGGTCTATCCTCCTCTGAGCCACAGGCACGTCACTCATTGGCCTTGGGCCTCCTGCTGCTATTTGTACCTGGTGTGAAGGTGTGTCACCTATAGTCCAACCTGTGGCAGATGGTGACAGGCTGCCAAGGGAGGGGTGATATGGACTTCTTTATCTTTTATCAGGGAAATGTGACCAAGCAGAACAGGTAGAGGGTGTTCAGAGCACTCCTGAGATAATTGTCAGGGGTGACAGTTGTCTCTGCTGTTGTCCAGAGTCTCTGCTGTTGTCAGACAATGGAGTTTTTGACAGTCCACTGGGCAAGTCAACTGCACTGCTTGGCACTGGGGTGGGCTGCTCTAATCCACGGGAGGCGGTGGATGGTGTGGGGGCAGGGGTCTTCCTGCCTGCTTTGCATACCTTGGTTTCTCAGATAGTCAGCTTCTATTTGGACACTGACTTGTATCAATATTACTCTAATAACTGGAGATGACAGCAGTAGCATTTTCCTCTTAAAATACATCAGTGGTGATGAGATAGTTTTAGCATAGCACTGAGTCACCGTGAGACTACCACTGTGGCTGACTACATCTACACCCATGATAACACGTCCAGATCTACAACCAGCCCAGTAATAAACAGTCCAAGAGGGAATCATAAAAAGGAAAAGCTGGCCACAGGAATTCCCTAGATGGAAAGAGAAAGGTCAGCAGGGAGGCTCATCTTAGCTGTCATGGGTGATAGTTAGGTTCCCTCCCTCTATGGCCTGGCCCAAGGCCACCATGTTCTGGCACCTTCCTGCCAAGAGCCACCAGACCCACCTTTGGTACTGAGTTGTGAAAGTCAGATTCCCTTTATGAAAAACAGGCGACGTCCACTGTAGAATGTTCTTGAAATTAACTGAATTCATTCTGACATTTTCAGGAGGTGGCACCAGCCCCGATGCTGTAAAAACAAAGGAAAAAAATATATATAGAACTTTTTTTTTCATCAAAAATATTGCCCCCCAAATGACACATTCAACACCTTGGTCTCCCCTAGGGGCTCTGTGTCTTCAAATGACATGTAGGTGAGGGAGGGGGGGTGGTGTTAATTGTGCTGCGGAGACTGGATTTTATTTGAAGAACTAAAATCTTAGTTTTAGTTTAAGAAGAAATTTTGGGGTGGGGGTAGGTGGGAAGCAAAAATAAAGTGGGGACAGATGATGGTGACCTGGATTAGAAGAAAGAAAGGTGTGAGAGTTAGGGCTCAGCAGGTGGATTTCAGATCTATTTCCAGAGGTATAAACTCTAGACTTTCTGATGTGGTGAACTGAAATGAATGTCCATTTCTGGCTTATGCATCTGGTGCCCTGATTGGAGCCTGGGCAGAGAACCATTTCAGTTCTGAAATGGGAGAGGCTGAAAAAAGATTCAAGGGGGGGAGGTCAGGTAAACAGCTGGATAAGCCAGCTTGGGAGGGCGGTCACAGGGAGGGCGGATGTGAGGTAGAGGCAGAAATTATTTTTAAACTTTTAAATAGAATTTTCTAGACATACACACAAGCAGAGAGGAGAGCATAATAAACATACCCATCACCCGACTAGTACCCATAGACCCAAAGGTGAGAGTCACAGGTCTATTATTTAATGCCACTGGTCTGTTGAAACTTAGGGGCGGGAGAGAAGGCTTGGTGATGAACTCAGCAACAGAGAGATCAGGCAGAGGATCCCAAGTAGAACCATCCTGAGAGGTATGGAGGAAACTGGAGAGTGTGGGCTTCAAAGGCCAGCACAGAGTTCATCCCAAAGAAGGAAGGGGTCAGCCATCGCGCTGTTTGAACCTGGGCACTCGTTGTAGAGGAGGACAGAGAAGGTTTCACTGGATTTAGCTCGCAAAAGCCCCACAGCGGAACACTGAGCGGCAGAATTCAGATTTCAAGGCGCAGGGCCGAGTGCTTAAGGGGAAGGTGATGTGGACCCTTCTGCTAGGAGGTCTGGCGGTGATCGGGCAGAAGGAGGAGGATGTGTAATGGGCCTCGTGGAGGGGCCGCCTCCAGACTCCAGGAGGGCCTGGGACAGCCGCCGGGGGAGGCTCTGTGCCTCTCCGGAGGCCGCTGGGTGAGGACGCGCCGGCGGGAACTGCAGCAAGCGCGAACACAGCCCGCGGGGAGCGCCCCTCGAGACCGCCGGCTGGACGGTGGGGACCGGGTGTGGGTGGGGCTCCTCCCCAGCTGCAGGATCCAGGGCGGCCGCGGCGGCAGCTTGGTGCGGCGCCCGGTCCCGGCACTGGGTCCCTTTACGGGCACCCACCGGCTGCGATCTGGGGTCGCCGCCTGGGGAATCGCCACCCCGCGTGCGTAGCAAAGCATCTCGCCGGGCCTCGCGGTTCCCTGTCGCCTCCGCCCTCGGCGGTCCCCCTGCCCCTTCCCGCAGACCCCTCACCTGACACCAGCAGGCAGCCGCCCAGCCAGCAGGCGAGGCTCCGCGCCATGGCCGCGCCGGGGACGGGCGAGGGCGCCGGGGGCGCCAAGGGAGCGCGAGACACTCGCCGCGGCCACCACCCGGCGCGCGCTTCCGGGAACCCGCGTGGAGCGGCCTCAGCGCTCCGCCCCGCCGCGACCCCGCCCCCGGGCCGGCCCGCGCCGCTGGGGAAGCGGCGGTCGGGGGCGGGGCCTCGGCGAGCAGGAGCGCGAGGCGGCCTCGGCCTGCAGAGGGCGCTGCCACGCCACCAGGTGCCCCGGGCTTGGGGCTGGGCTGCGGGCTCGGTGCAGTGCTGTTCCCCCGGTTCTTCCCACGGGAACGCCGCGTCCTCTAGAGAGCGCTCGGCGAGCAGACCCCAGCCTTCTCCAGGGCTCCCCGGGAGGAACAGGCCAACACGTCATTCGTGTCCCAGATGCTAGTTCCTCACCAGACTGCTGGGGAGAGCTTTAACTTCCTCCTCGGGGACTTGCTCCAGGGTGGGTGAGGTTACACTGCGGGACGCGTGGGGCAACCTAGGGCTTCCCCTGACCCTGGCGGCGCGTGCCCGGAGGCCAGGGGCCCTTGCCGCTGTAGAGGGAGCTGGTGGCATTCCGGGATGCCAGCAGAAGCAAAAACCTGCGGCACAAATACACTCTTGGATGAGAAAAAATTCTGAGGCCCACATCAAGTTTGTACGAAAAAGTATTCTTGTATTATTACCCTTTACCAAACACCCAACCGTTATACAAAACTTTAAAAATAAGCGCCAGGGGTGACAAACCAGCACCATAGAGAGGTCATATCAAAAGAGCAATGTGAAATCTTTCAAAATACGATACATCCGTTCAGAAGGCAAAGTGGTGGCTTTTGTGTAGGACAAGGCCTCTTTCCTAAGGGATTTCATTAGATTCTTAAATAAGGGTTTCCTAATTGGGTTACTTTACAGCAATTACATAAGTCACCTATTAAAAATCCTTGAGCCACGACCTGCATGACTTTTGCTTTTCCCCTTTTGAATAGGCCCAGGAGATGGGTCTGAGAAACCTGCTCTTGGGGTAAGGGGAGTGAGATGGGAAGATCCTCAACCTTTCATCCTTCCTGGGAGCCTGGCAGGGTCATAGAACTTCTGTATTTATTTCTTATTCCTGTGTGTTTTTAAATACTTCTCCTAGATTCAAAGGGTCTTAGAGATTACATAGTCACCCTAAAAAATAATTTTTTTAGAAATTTTGCTTAAAAAATAAAAGAAGTTGAGACTCGAGAGGCCAAGTAAAATGCCCAGGGCCATACAGAGAAATTTGAGCAGTTAGAACTCCGACTCTGACTCTCAGTGCTTAATACTGTTTGCTACATGACATTCTAGGATTTCGCCCCCCTCCCTTGCCCCATTTACAGTAACCGGTCCCATTGAGGACATTTGCAATCAGCACATAGCACTTTAAAATTTGACAAACAGGATCTCTTAGACTTGTAGGCCACCTTTCTTCCAAAGACCTTGAAGCATTTTTGATTTTGTTCTTTTTTTAGATCTTAAAATGGGACACTGAGATTTTTATCCCTCTCCCTCATGCAATGTGTCTTACCTGATACTACAGTTATTAATGTGCATATCTGTATTTCACTCTTAAAGCCAGGAAGGGCTGCGTGAGCACCTGAGTGGAGTTCTCAGCTTGGCGGTGACAATATGACATCTGAGAGGTGCCCAGGGACCACTGACTGAAATTGCTGGCCCTTCCCTTGTTTTCTTATGCATCTGCATCCTTTCTCTCCAGCTAATCCTGCTCCAACCCATCCCTTCAGCTTGGTTTATTGCTCATTCCTTGAGCTTCCTGGGCTCAGGGTCTCTGTCTGCTCACACTACTCATAGCTCCTGCTAGGATTTCCCCTTCTTTCTCCCTTCTCCCATCCTGGCAATTCAATTGTTTCCCAGAAACATTACAGGGCCAGAGGGACAAGGTCACCCTGAAGAACACAGGGAATCTTGCTTATTGGGAAGCAAGATAAGATTCCTAAGAAGTATATTAGAATAAAGGGAGAAGGCAGAGCATGCATCTTCAAAATGTATCACTTGGACTTGTAAACAGTGTACTCGATGATACTATATATTCCCTTACTGGGAATGCTCACAGATTATGTCATCAGGAAGAACTGGCCAGCCCCTACAGTTCTGTACTCCTTGTACTCCTTTCCTCACAGACCACTTGTGGCTCATAAGGCAACAAGTCTGTGTACAGGGCGAGAACCCTGTGTGGACTTCGTAGTTCAAGTTAATGAGCTATATTCAGAATCATCTCTTGATATAACCGTCCCTTCCAGAGTCAACATCAAAATCAGAAGTATCACTTCTATCAGATGGAGTGTCTTCCTCAGTCCACAGGCACTGGGAAAAGGGGCTAAGGTCGAGCAACTGTGACCTTTCCCCACTCGCCACCAGAAGACAGGATTCCATTTGGTCAGGATCCTCTTCTAGGTTGATGATCTCTTCTGGAAGAGATGACACCAAAGGGGATTCTTCTGAGTCATCGTCATCAGGAGCTCTCATAAACACAGAGTTTAAATTCACATTAAAGGTAATTCTGTCCCCGGACCCTCCAGGGGAGCTGCAGTTGTCCTCAGGAAGAGAGTCCTGGCACAAGCTCTCTCTCCTCTCATAGGGACCACTTGTGTGGCAGGGGCTGGGCTTTGGCACCGTAGGAGGCCCGGGGTGGGGCTCAGGCTCAGCCTCGTAAGGATCAGATTCCTCAGCTTCGGAGCCTTCCATCTCAGGCTCCTGGGAGGCAGCGGAGACCTGGCTCAGAAGCCTGCTGGTCAGTCCGTGCATGGTGTAACCACCGGCGCTAGTTCTGAGAGCCACTTCATGGTCACTGTCACTGTCGTCGTCATAATTATAATCCCATACTTTCTTCTTTTTGTTGACAGAAATGACTTCCATTGCATTCACAGCTTCTGTTGGTGGCAGACCAGGAAATATCTGGGCTACAAAGTTATGAAAATTCTTGAGAGAGAGAGAGAGAGAGAGAGAGAGAGAGAGAGAGAGAGAGAGAAAGGGGGCAGGGGGAGAGGAAGAGACAGACAATTAGTCTATCACTGTGTTTGCTCTTTATTTTCTACATAATAAAGCTGCACCATGACGGGGATGGGGATGAGGATGATGACTGCAGGAACAACAGGGGGAGCCCGGGTTAGGTAGTGCTCACTGGTGCCAGGCTGGCTCCTGGTGCATGGCACAGCTGGCCCTCCAGATCCCCTGAGCCCACGTGCCTTATATAACACCGTGCATTTGCATGGAACCTCCACGCATTCCCTTTCAACTGTCAGGGCCCTGGAGGTGGCTCACACATTGGAGGGACAGCTGTGTGAATGGCTGGCATACTGTATTGCTTAGGCAACAACGACAAGAAAACAAGTCAGTACAGACGCAGTCTTTCCCAAATATTTTTGAATATGAGGACTTTGCTAAACGTATTAATCCTAAATAGTTTATCTTTAGAATCATGTGACTTTTAAAATTTAGACAATTCATATATCATCAATAAAGTATCATTATCTCTACAGCACTTTCAACTCTAAGGTGTATGAGGGCGGGGGTTTTTGACCTGCTGTGTCCTCCACACCCAGAAACATGTTGACATGTTTGTTACACTTGCTAAATGAAGAGAAGATGCTGCTTAAAAAAATGTTAACAGCTGTTTATTTTTAATATTTTTTTAGTTGTCAATGGACTATTTATTTATTTATATGTGATGCTGAGGATCAAACCCAGGGCCTCACACATACCAGGCAAGTGCTCTACCACTGTGCCACAACCCCACCTCATAACAGCTATTCTTGATTGAACACACATAAGCAAAGGTGCTAGGCCTAGAGTCAGTTTCTCCATTCCCAGGGTTTTTAACCTAAACATAGAGTAACAATTTTTAATGGAGAAATACTAAACAGACATAAGATATCAACATGGTAAGATGAGCATGAAGAATGCACTTTTTTTTTGGTACCAGGGGATTGAACCAAAAGCTACATCCTCCATCCCTTTTTTATATTTCATTTATTTAAAGATAGAGTCTCACTAAATTGCTGAGGCTGGCTTTGAACTCAGGATCCTCCTGCCTCAGCCTCCCGAGCTGCTGGGCTTATAGGTGTGCACCACCACGCCCGGCCTAGGAGTGCACTTCTATCAACCATGAAGGAATGTTTAATTATAATGGCTGCTGAAAAATTAGAATTAGGTGTATGAGTTCAAACATAAACAATAATGTATTTCTAAATGTTACTAACATAAAAGGAAGGAATAAAATAGGGAAAATGGAAAATGATGGGTGAATGCAGTCGAGTAAAAAAAAAACACAGAGGTTTAAAAAAGTGTACGATCAATATCTAGCCTCTGTAAAGGCTCTAAGTTCGAAAAGCACAGAGAGGAAATGAAGGTAAACAAATGGCTGTTTTTGTTAATAATCAAAGTAACACACATGAGAGCACCTCCCAGGGAGCCTTATGTACACAATGAATAAAGACAGTAAAAATGATTCATTGTGGTCAGTGGAGCATTAGAGAGAGATAACATCACTATTGGCTCAGTTCTTGTAGATTTTTTTTTTTTTTTTTGGCATTAGGGGTTGAACCTAGGGGCACTTAACCACTGAGCCACATCCCCAGCCCTTTTAAAAATGTTTTATTTAGAGACAGGGTCTCTCTGAGTTGCTTGGGGCCTCACTAAGTTGCTGAGGCTGGCTTTGAACTCGTGATCCTCCTGCCTCAGCCTCCAGAGCCCCTGGGATTACAGGTGTATGCCACTGTGCCTAACTTAGTATCAGTTCTTTAAAATATCATTTATAAGAAAAGTCTACTTGGTGTGTAGATTCCACTGAAATAATTCAAAATAAAACAAAACATAATCCATACAAAAATTTCCTTTGCACTATTCATAATGTCCAAGGAAAGAAAGGAAAAGAAGTGAAAAAGAAATCAATCCAAATGTGCTATAGTTAAAAATGTGATACAACAATAACAGTGGAATTCTGTGTAGTCATTAGAAATAATATAATAGGTGGAAATAAATAATAGGTGGACAGTATATGAAGAGAAAACATAAGGCACAGACACACTGTAAATATATTTTTG